AAAAAAAAAGTCATAGTACAAAACAATAAGGCTTGTGATGCTCTTAACATCAAAACTTATTTTAATTAAGACTCATGGGAGTTAAGTTAGGATGCTAAAAAAAATAAAATATGTTTCTGACTTTTAGAAAATTTTAATTTATTATGAAACTTTGGATAGCTTTGGATATGAGTTTAGCTCCAAGAAGGGATTGTTAATGGTTTCACGGAGTAAACTTATGATCTTGAATAGTTAGAAGAAAAAGGGGGTTTTGTGTTAGAAGATGTTACGGTGATTAGTAAAACTCATGTCTCAATTAAATGAGATTTGGATAAAATGAAATTATAGCATTAACGATTGAAACAACTGAGTGATAGGGCTTTGTTAGAGTTGCAGAAATATGGATTAGTTAATGGTGATTCGAATGTAAAGAATGTGTTTTTGTGAATCATGTATTATTGACAAGGCAACGAGACTCAATTTCAGGTTATCAACGTAGATAGCAGAAAAAGAATGCAATATAGTTATTCTAACTTTTAGGGATCATTCAACCAACCATAATTTCAACTCATTGAAATAATCATTTCTTCTTTTTCTAGTTTCATTGATGATGATTCTATAAAAATTTGGATGTTATTACTCAATGTAAAAGATAGATTTTTTTTTAAATTTTAGAATGAAAATCATTAGTAGTAAATCAAAAGGACATAAAGATCAAAGTTTTGAGAACTCATAATGGATAATAATGTTGTAATAAAAAAATTTGTAAAGTTTGCATTGCTTTCAGAGTTGTTAGATATTCGATTATTAGCTTCACAATAATGTAAGAAAAAATGAAAATATCTTCACAACAAAGTTAGATGTTTACTTGATAGTTCTGATGTCTCTACATTTTTTTGGGGTGAAGTACTTTCTACTACATATTATTTAGCAAACACAACACTGAGTGTTTTTTTCAAAAACCCTAAAAAATGATAAAATGTAAAAAAATCAAGTGGGAAACACCTAGAGCTTTCTATTGCACTTTATATCCTCGCATCTCACAAGAAAAAATGAAAATTAGAATCTAGGTTAACAATATATATACTAGTGGTGTTAAGGGGTAAAGGTTATTGTGCATGAGTTTTAATAGTACCTAAATAATAACCAATAATGATATTATTTTCAATAAAGATATTTTGTATATTTAAAATATTAATAATAGGTAAATGTGTAGTTAAATTAATATGAAATAGAACTATATGATTAAAATTATTATAATTTATAGGAGGGGTCTTATATTAACATTTATCAAAGCACTAAAAAGTCACAATAATTATTACATAATAAACTAAAATTGAAATAACATTTGAAGAAATTAATGATTATTAGTGAAGTATGTAGGTAAGTAAGTAAGTATGTATGTATGTATGTATGTATGTATATATGTATGTATATATATATATGTATCACTTTAACATGAATTAATTACTTGGGTTAGGTGGTTTGGTCACATTAAACGTTGACCATCTGATGATCGTCTTACAGAGAATTGTTAACAAAGGAAGAGGTAAACCTAGAAAGACTTTGACTTATTATATAAATGTTATTTTGACCCCCAATTATTGAACTAAGGTAAAAGGGCCCTTTTGTAATGTGGTACCCCCCCCCTACCACAATCTTAAGCTACCACAAAAGAGGAGAGAATAGCTATAGAGCTAGAGAGGAGGAGAGCATCTTGAGGCCTTATATCAAGGTGTCGCTTGAGAGGGAGGTCATAGAAGGAAGATGAGGGCTCATCTCTATGTATAAGTTATGTATTCTCCATTTCTTTTGCCTTAG